AGACCAAAATTAGGTAAAGTTTATGAATTTTTTATTTTGATTTGGTCGAAGTGCTGTTCTTCTTTCTCCCTTTCTGTGGTTAATTTGGGGTTTTTGAAGGAAATTAGGGTTGGGGGTAAGAATATATTGAGTGTGTTAGCATTGTTAAGGGTCTTGACTCTGTTCCTCCCCCCACTCTATGCAGAAATTGAGGAGATGTCTTCAGAAGAGGCCATGAGTGTGGTGGGGAGTGAGGTGATGCCCCTGGATTACGGGAGCATGGACTCGGAGAGCAATCCGTCTCCAACTAGTTCGGAGAGGATAGTGGAGGATATAAGGGGGCGAAGGGTAGTAGTGGTAGAAGAGGAAGAAGATGAAATCCCTTCAAACATTTTGGAGGCTGGAGGTGGTGTAGATGGGTGTTATGACCTAGATTTAGAGGTAGTGTCTGAGGTGAGGGGGTATGTGAGTGAGTTAGGTAGTAGGGATAGTCTGAGGGGCCTCGTGAGTAACTGTAACCTTCCTCACCACGTCTTACTTAGGCCTGCCGGGGTGAATGAGAGGGCATGCTCAGCACCCCGAGACCATTGGATGCCCCTCTACGTCCATTATTTGATGGCAGGACTTAGGTTTCCCATTCCAGAATTACTGGTTGGGCTATTATTAGATTATAGTATAGGAATAACCCAATTAACCCCAAATGCCATAAGGGTAATAATAGGTTTTCTTGTATACTGCAGAGTTCGGGAGGTGGGCGTCCCGACAGTAAACATGTTTAAACATTTTTTTATAATTAAGGCTGGGGGTAAGGGGGAGAAGGGGTGGTACTACTTCGGTCCTCGGTCGTCCAGCAAAGATAATAGGAATTTATTCACTGCTGGACCGTCATCCATCAAAGGATGGAAAGAAAAATTCTTCTTTGTGGATGACACCGAGTGGAGCAGGAGGGATGCCGAAGTGGAACAGTTGTCTGCTTGGAAAGCAAAGAAAACCAAGCAGAACAACTATAAGTTGAACGAGGATGAGGTGGAGGAGGTGGAGAAGCTGGTGAGGGAAGATGGAGACGTAATGGATATCTTGTACCTCACCAGTCCTAAGGCAATAGAGGCTGTTGAGCTCTATGGGCCAAGCTCATTGAGCGAAGGTTTGTGTATGTTTATATTGTACCACTTACTTGAATTTCCAGCTATTGTGTTTTAACACTTGTTTTTGCTCTGCAGCTGAGATGGATGAATTTATCAATGCTGCTGGAGGGCTGCGCATCCCCAAGAAGCCAAGGAAGAAGTCAAAGACTTCGACTACGGTAGACAAAGGGGCAGCAGAGAAAGAGCGCCTGCCCAGCACTTCTGCTCAAGTTCTGGAGATACAGCAGAGACCAGAGCCTGCAAAGGGGGATAATGAGGATGTGAGTGAGGAGGTGGCACCACTCCAGAGGAAGAAGAGGAAGATGGCTGAACCAGAGGTGACGGGGGATGAGGTGACTGAGTTCGTGCCTCACCCCTCTACTCCTGAAATCAATCCTGAGGTTAGGGAGAGGGAAGGGGCCGAGGTGCGAGGCCCTGGTAGGGGCAAGGAGCTCATCCCTCCTCATTTGTACGAGAAGAGTTTGTTTGAGGCGGCGAACACGATTGGGGCGAGGCACTTCCTCAACTGTACTCTCCCTGAGGTGGATAGGAGGCGGGCGAGGGATGAGGCAGTGAGTCGGCTAGGAGCTACTGTGGTGAGGCATGCCTTGGAGGTATGTAAGGGATATGTAGGTTAATCCTGCTTTAATTTTACTCCTGTGTTTGAGGTCTGACTTCTGCTTATCTTGTAGAGTGCAAGCTGGACAAACGCTCTAGCATAGGAGTACGCGGAGAGCATGAGAGATCGTGCCAGCTTGCAGAGGCAGTGCGAGCAGCTGCAGAAGGAGAGGGAGGAGCTACAAAAGGAGAAGGAGGAGTGGCAGAAGGAAAGGAGGGAGATGCAGAGGAGGCTGGATGAGGTTCTTCCTTCAGTTACCGAACTCCAGAACGACAATGATGTCCTGAGCACGAAACTTGTTCTCGAAGAACGCAAGAGGAAGATCTGCGAAGACAAGCTCGAGGCTCAGGATAAATATATTGAGAACATGAAGAAAGAAGCAGCGGAGTTGAAGAAGAATGTGAACCTGCTGGTTCACAATGGGATAGAGGAGCATATTGGTAACTTCCTCAACTCCAGCACGTTCGAGAACATCATCAACCTCTACCATCGTGGCCTTCACCGATTGTAGAAAGAAGGTGAAGGCTCAGTATTCGAAGGTGGACGTGACAACGGTTACTTTTGGGGAGCAGGAAGAAGGGGTGGAGGAAGATAGTGAGAGCCTCTCTGCTGACTTCCGACCTCAGATTACGCTAAGGTGGGAGCGTGATGCAGAGGGGCGCACCATTTTTCCTCCAGCCTTTGATGCTGAGTTGGTGGTCGTGGAGGAAGAAGAAGAAGAAGGAGTGTAAGGCGCTGGAGTTGAGGAAGTGCAGCCTCCCGAGGTGCATCCAGTCTCCTCTGACGAGGTGCAGCAGTTGGCCCCTCCTGAAGCAGAAGTGCCGCCCCTGCCTACTGGAGATGAGCCACCCCTACCACCTCTTCTTGTTGAGGAGTAGCCTCCTTCCTCAACAGATTAGCTTAGGAATTTTTGCTTTATTTTTGTAAAAACATTTTTTGTAATTTGATGTTTGATTTATTGTATAAAAGTTTTGATTTTTAATCTTGGCATTCATTTTTATAAAAGTGAATGACTTCAGATATAGTAGCTTCACTTAACACAAGGTTCTGACCTCAAACACAATAAAATGAACAGGAAAGGAATTGACCTTGGGTATGTATATATATGAGGCGGACTGGAAATGACAAAAGATAAAGCAAAACACTTCAGAAGTGAGGGTAAAGAAATTATAACCTAGCAAATGAAGTAAAGTGGTTGAATAAGTCACAATGAAAGGACTGAAACACTTCAAATGTGAAGTGGAGTTCATTATTGAGCTTCGGTATACAGTAATCAGAATAATGGCGATTATAGAAATAAGACAAAGTTTACTGAAATTAAGGGTAAAATTTCTTCAAGTTATTGGTATTCCAGACTCTATGAACCCTTTTGCCCTCAGTGTCTTGTAGGATATAAGCACCGGGGTGCGGCACTTCGGCTATAGTGTAGAGGCCTTCCCAGTTTGGTGCTAACTTTCCAAATTGAGTTTCGAACCCCGTTAGACCAGCTTTCTTGAGAATAAGGTCTCCTACTTTGAATGCGCGGGGTCGAACTCGTTTGTTGTAAAAGTTTGCTATTTTCTACTTGTAGACTAGAGTTTGAAGTCGTGCTTCTTCTCTGACTTCATCAAGCAGATCAAGGTTCTCCCGAAGCAGTTGTCCATTTTGTCCTTCATCGAAATGGGTGACCTTGAAGCTTGGGATTCCTATCTCGATAGGAATGACTGCTTCGGTACCGAAGGTCAGATGATAGGGTGTTTCACCTATTTCAATTGATTATAACTTTAGAATGCGCTTTACGCGTTATGTATATTCGTTCTAAGATAAAGCCGTAGCAGAGGAAGTAAAACAATGTAAAGTTTAATTAAATAGACCAAGTTTATAGTAATACCTGTGGCAATTCGGCTTGTGGTTCTATATGCCCAGAGAACGTTGTTGAGTTCGTCTGCCCATCTGGCCTTGTGCTGTTCCAATCTCGGCTTTATACCTTCTAGGATGCATTTGTTAACAGATTCGACCATGCCGTCGGACTCTGGATGGTAAACTGAGGTGAATTGCAGTTTGATCCCGTAGCTGGAACAAAAATCCCGGAATGAGGCGTAATTGAATTGAGTTCCGTTGTCAGCTACAATCTGACTCGGGATCCCATATTTGCAAATAATCGAGCTGAAAACAAAGTCTTCAACCTTCTTGGAGGTAAGACTGGATAGTGCCCGAGCTTCGACCCATTTTGTGAAGTAATCCACACCAACAATGAGATGGGTTACACCTCCTACCCCCTTCATAAATGGACCTAAAAGGTCGAGACCCCATTGAGCAAATGGCCAAGGCGCTACCAAAGTAGTGAGTTCTTTTGCAAGCTGGTGGATTAGATATGCGAAGAACTGACACTTCTGACACCTCTGTACGAACTGGGTGGCATCCTTATACATGTTGGGCCAATAATAACCTTGTCAAAAGACTTTATGGGCCAAAGTTTGAGCACCTACGTGACTCCCGCAGACACCTTCATGCACCTCCCGAAGTGCGTATTCGGCCTCATAAGGAGTTAGGCAGCGAAGCAGAGGGAGTGAGAAAGATCTCTTGTAGAGGACATCATTAACAAAGGTATATCGAGATGCCTTCTTCCTCAACCTCATCTCTTCCTGTTTATCCGCGGGCACTGTGCCATCCCGGAGAAACGAGATAATTGGATCTGTCCAGCTTGATGAGCTAGGATCTGTGCTGACCTCCATCATTCGTGGTTTCAAGAAGCTAGGCTCGTCTAGAATTTCTACAACGACCGATCTGGAGCTTTGGTTGCCATCAGAAGCAAACTTGGAGAGGGAGTCTGCTTGCTCATTTTCAGCTCGAGGGATTTTGCTTAAGTGGAATTTCTAGAATTTGGATTTCAATTCGGCCACTAGAGTTGCGTACTTCATCATAACAGGATCGACCACTTCGCAGATTGAGTTAACGTGATTGATTACTACCTGTGAATCACTGTATATTTGTATCGCTTCAACCTTCAATTCTGTCGCTAGCTGTAAGCCGAGCAGCAAGGCTTCGTATTCGGCCATATTGTTGGTGGCATCAAAATTAAATTTTAGAGCGTGTTCACTTCGATACCCATCTGGGCCAAGTAGGAGTGCACCAGCGCCACAACCTTTGCTACTTGATGCGCCATCGACATACAGAATCCAACTGTCCACCTCAGACTGGGAATCAGAGTGAGCTGAGGTGCATTCTACTATGAAATCGGCAAGGGCCTGAGCTCGAATTACTGACCTCTGTTGAAATGTGAGCTCGAATTTGCTCAGTTCGACTGCCCATTTGATCAATCTCCCCGAACACTCTGGCTTCTGCAAAATTTGTCTGAGCGGCTGGTCCATGAGGACTATGATTGAGTGTGATTGGAAGTACGGTCTTAGTTTCCTGGCCGAAGTGACAACTGCTAAGGTCGCTTTCTCGGCAATGGAATATCTGACTTCAGCTCCATGTAACACGCTACTGATGTAGTAAACTGGTTTCTGTTGCTTCCCCTCTTCCCTTATTAGCACAGAACTGATAGCTTCATCTCATATGCCAAGGTACAAGTAAAGGATTTCTCCATCATCGGCCTTTGTTAGCAAAAGGGGTGAGCTAAAATATGACTTCAGCTCGTCAAATGCATCTTGGCATTCTGAATTCCATTCAAACTTCTTTTGTTTGCCAGATTCATCTTTCTGGGCTGCCAATCTCATAATCTTGAAGAACGGCAAGCATTTATCTGTCGATTTCGAGATGAATCTATGTAGAGCTGCTACTCTCCCCATCAACCTCTGTACATCTTTTACCGACTTCGGTGGTTCCATCTCGGCTACTGCTTTGATCTTTTCAGGGTTGACCTCAATCCCTCTTCTGGATACCATGAAGCCTAAAAACTTTCCCGACTCTACACCGAAGATGCACTTTTCTGGGTTTAACCTCATCTTGTTCTTCCTGAGATTGTTGAATGTCTCCTCGAGGTCAGCTAAGTGATCCTCCGCTTTCAAACTCTTCACCACTATATCATCAACATAAACTTCCAGATTTCGACCTATTTGAGCTCGGAATACGATGATAACCATCTTCTGGTAAGTGGCACCTGCGTTCTTCAAGCCAAAAAGCATCATCACATAGCAATAGATCTCATCGCCGGCATAGAACAAGGTTTTTTTTTCATCCTCGGGAGCCATTGGCACCTGGTGATACCCTAAATATGCGTCCAAGAGACTCAATCTCTCATTTCCCGAAGCTGCCTCAACCAGCTTATCAATGTTTGGCATTGGATAACAGTCCTTTGGACATGCATCGTTGAGGTTACTGTAATCAATCCACATCCGCCATTTACCATTTTCTTTTTTCACCAGCACCGGATTGGCGACCCATTCACAGTAATCGACCCTTCTGACAAAGCCAGCTTGTAGGAGTTTCTCGACTTCTTCTTTAATAACTTTTAACCTCTCCCCCCCAAAGAGGCACCGCTTCTAGGCTACTGGTTTCTTAAGTGGATTGGTGCTAAGTTTATGTTGAGAAACTGAAGTGGGAATGCCCGGCATGTCTGCTGAAGTCCATGCAAAAACATCTCTATTGGCCCGAAGAAAAGCTATTAGCTCTGCTCTTTCCTCCGGGTTCAACTTAGTCCCAATTTGCATTTTTCGGTTCGGATTTCAGTCATCAATCTGTACCACTTCCACAGCTTCTACTGGAGCAGCCCTGGTTTCATCTTCTGGTCGATTATCTACGATTTCTACACCCATAATTTGCCGATTGTCAGGAATCTGTTTGGAATGGACCTTGGGTGTCTGATCTTTGCCCTTCTGAGGTTGCGTGACCGAGGTGATATAGTAATGTCGAGCCACCTCCTAGTTGCTTCGCAGCGTTGCTATGCCCGTAGGAGTTGGGAATTTCATGCATAGGTGAGATTGGGAAACCACAGCTCGGATTTCAGTCAGTGTTGGTCGGCCAATGATGACGTTGAAAGAGGACGCCATCTTGACTACCAGAAAGCTAACTGAAGGGGTCACGTAACTCCGGCCGCTTCCAAATGCAACAGTCATGGTGAGGACTCCTTCAACTGGGACTGGCTGGTTGTTGAATCCATAGATGGGATCATCATACCGCTGCAACAAAGTCGGATCCAACCCAAGACTTTCAAAACAATGGACGTACATGATGTCTGGTGCACTCCTTGTGTCAACAAGGACGCGCTGCACCTCACAACTGTTAACCGTGACAGAAGTGACGAGGGGGTCATTGTGGGGCGTGACAACTGTATCGAGATCATCAGATGTGAAGGTAATTGGTTGATTCTTCCACTCAGCATCGTCAAACTTTCGCTTTCGAGCTTGGTTCCAATGTTTAACCTCTCTGACATACAACTTTCGCTGTTTAGAGCTTAGTCCACCGGCTTCCAGGCCTCTTGTAATCATGTGTATAATTTTAGCTGGTGGTGGGAGCGGGGGTGAGGCTTGCTGATATCCCACACCTTGCCTGTTTGGCGGGTTACGGACACCTTGAGGTTGTGGCCCTTGTTCCCTGACAAAACGTGGCTGTTCAACTCTCTGGATGTACTCATTCAACATTCCTTTCTGCGCCAGACTTTCCAGCTCGGACCTCAGACTATTGCATTGCTCTGTTGTATGACCGTGATCTTGATGAAAATCACAATACCTAGTATGATCTCTGGTAGCAACAGCAGTTCTCATTGGACCCGGACGTCTTAAGTCCATTTTATTCTTAATCTGCATAAAGATTTGTGACCTCAGTAAATTAAAAGGAGTCCAATTAACTGGAGGTTTACCTGCAGGTTGTTGCGGAGGTGTTGAGTTCGGCCTTTCGAATCTCAGGGTGGAAGTCGGCATCGGACCTCGGTTCTGTGTTGTCTTCATCCGTTTCCTGTTCGGATTCTTATCTCTCCAGTCCGGGTGTTGGTTCTTAATAGGAGTTAGGTTCTGCGACAGGGCATATTCCTCAGTAGTTATGAATTTCAATGATCTATCATTTACCTCGCCGAAGGTGGTAGCAGGATGTTTAAGCAGGCTATCCCTGAATCTCTCATGGCTAAGACCTGAGATCACAGCTGTAATTCCTACAGCCTGGTCGAAAAAGTTGACTTCCAGCACTGCATCATTAAATCTACTCATAAAATTCTTCAAAGACTCTCCGTCCCTCTGCCTAACGCGCATCAGCTCGGAAGTGGTTTTCCTGATCAACCTTCTACTGGAAAACTTTGTGGCAAAAGTGGATGCCATTTCTGTGTAAGAGCTGATTGACCTCAGGGGCAGACTGTAGTACCAGGTTCGAGCATTACCGCGGAGGGTAAAAGGAAAGATTTTGCACATCAACGCTTCAGAGACGTTCTGGGCTTGCATACAAGAGTAGAAAGCATGTAGATGATCATCGGGGTCCTTCGTCCCGTCATAAGTTTCAAGTTGTGGTATTCTGAAGCCAACGGGATAGGGTTCTAATGTAATGTTGGTGTTGAGGGGGTGGGGTACGGAGTCAGCAGCAGGGTGTGGAGGTGGGGCACCTCGCTGTTCAACCATTAGCTTTTCTAAGCTATCTAGACGTCAAGTGACATCATCATGAAGGGGTTGCTGAGCTGGTGCGATGTGAGATTGGCCCTGAGATTCACTAACAGCGGGAGCATGCTGAACTGGTTCAGGATTTTATGGTGGGGCTGGGGGTTGTAGAGCAGGATTAAGTAAGTTGATGAGTGGATCACCAGGATTATTCCCGGCTAATAGCTGAGCCAGTACTAGCTGAAAGACACCAAATTGCTGTTGCATGGCAGCGAGTTGAGTTGCAACTACGTCTTGGTTAGCAGTAAAGGCTGAGTTGTGAGCCGAATTGCGTGGCTGATTTTCATCCCTTCCTTCTGCTTGGTCAGCATGAGGGAGTGTGTTCGGGATTGGGGGCGGGAGATGAGGATGAAAATTGCTGGGGACCTGACCTCGTCTAAGAGGCTGAGATGAGTTTCCACCTCGGACTGACCTAGTTTTAACCATGGTGGGAGCAACAAAGGAGCTTTCAATGCGAATTCCCACAAACGACGCCAAAATGTAACTGCACCAAACCAAAAGTCCTCCTTCAGTCCGTGTCTGCACTCTGAATTGACCTGCAAAGCCTCGAGGTGGATCCTCGGGATAAACACTCCAATGCTTAAGTCAGCAATAATCGGGGCTACCTTTAGAGCGGAGATGAAAGGAGCTTAGGGTTGGTTTTCATTACCCTTTTCGTTGTGGCCCTTGGGGGGGTATTTATAGGTTTCAATGAAGAACCCACGTGGCATGCCAAGCAAGATATTCGGGATCTGATGTGTATCTCCAGACGGTTAATTCGAGACCGAGAATTTGGGAGATATTCAGATGCAAGGATGTCCATCGTAACTGCTGCGCAGCTTATTATGAAGAATCAGATACAAGCATGCCTACTGTTGTTGTCATGCAACTATTTGAGCGGAAACCTTTGGATTTATCCTTTACTTCAGTCATAAAGAAATTACTGTTGTTCGTCCGAGGTTGAGCACCTCAGACCTACCCTTACACTTTATTTTTGGGTAATGTTCAACGCTAACTCCTTCGAAGTTCCAGCATCTTCTAAATCTTTTTTTTTTTTTTTTAGGGATTCAAGGTGGAAATCCCAGCGTCTTCCACCTTTTTTCTAGGTTTTTTTTTGGTCGGTTTTAGACACCTTCTTCCATTTCAACCATGTTAAAATCTTAGATTTCCTTTTCCTTACCTGATCTAAAACGTCAATAAAGTTTCTGTCTTTTCTTTTTTGGACCATCAATAACGTTTTTGTTAGTGAGAAATTTTATTTTCTAGCTTCATATTATGAGGAAGAATGAAGAATGAAGAAAGAAAAACAAGAAGGAAGAAGAGGGGCAAACGGCAAAAGATTCCTTTGGATTTGAGTTTACTTATTTGAGAGTTGATTCAAAAAGCCACAATTGATGAATTGCAAAAAATTAAAAATGACTTCTTGTTTCTATCGAATATTGAAGAAAGAAAACTGAGGAGTTGAGAAGATGAAAGTAGAATGTAGACAAGGAGGAGAGAGAAGCTTTGAGCCTCAAACGGAAACTTTCTCTGGTAAGTAAAATTTAGCGGGTTGTATTTATAAAATGATAAAGTG